TGGGCGGGGGAGCGAGCGAGCTGCGAGCACCAAAATAAAGCGGGTTTTTTTGAGAACGGCCTGGGACGCGGGAAAAATTATGGGAAGGCATGCCTGTCCCGCCAGATGCGGGACATCTGGTCACCTTAACTAAAGGGGGAAAGTTGGAAACCAAATAGCTGGGTTTCTTTTTTACTTTTACTTTTTGCTATTGTTATTTTGTCTGTTTTTTGTTTTTCTTTAATCTACACAAACAATAACAGTGTAGTGGAGATCTTAGTATTGAATGGAAACCTTTATTGTATAACAAATAGTTTTGTGTACGTTGCAGTTATTTATTAATGCCATTTTTACCTTTGGATGTAAACATTAAATAACCTTATGACTGACATTTTAATAATCACAGTTAATATTGATATAAATATTTTTTTATTTTTCAATTTTTAAGTTAAGTTATCTAAATATTGTTTATAATTTCTAATCAATATCATATGCACACTTTTATGCCTAAATAATATAATGTACAACTTAGATTTTATAGTAATAAAATGCAGTAAAACAATAAAAAAGTTTTCTGGCACAATTGCCTTGCAATTTAGTCTCGCCATTCCATAGAATCTGCATCACTGGTACTAACTTTGCATAAGTTGTCACTAGATATACACTGTTGTAGAGGTGACTATCCCAGAAAAAACAATATTAAAGGGACAATGTGAATGTCCAACTTAATTTCATATGGCTTCTACTCCTTGTCTATTCTTAGAGCTAGGCTGAGTTGGGAAGGAGACAACCTGAACGTCTCTCACACACTTCTATTGTTCACCAGCATGAAAGTTGCTCTGTTTATGTAATCATCATTGCCTCTGTTTTCTTGGCTCCGTTCCCCCTTCTGTGATATTCCACATCCTATACTGTTGCCCTCTTCTCCTTTTGTATGTATTATGCAGTACATAAGTTATATCCTCCTTGGCAGCAGCCCAATAATGAAGTAGTACACAGTGGTCTCCTTAGATAGGCAACTATAGGATATTCCAAATGAACTCTTATCGGCCATCTTGAATGAGGACTTGGGCAACAGCAGTCCTTGCATTTTGATTGTGCTATCTCCTCAGGCAAGTCACCTCACTAGTAGATGGGCAATGTATAAATTTAATAAATAAAATCACTTTTCTTCAAAGATAGATTGGACCATGTCCCTGACCATGTGCCAGACCAAGCCTGTAGTTGAGATGGCAACAAAAAGGCAGAGATCTGTTCATATGATGCATGAGCAGGAGGAGCAAAGTGCTTTATTCTTGGCATTGAAAGGCAGCCTGTTATTCTTACAGAAGGCGAAGTGGGCAATGCTTTAACTCAATATTGAAGTAAAATAATTTAACTGCTAGTTTTATGATTAGTCAAATTAATTTTGCCTATTCAACTTGAAACAAATTAACACTGAAAGATTAAAAAAAAATAGTGAATTAACAACCACTTTGCCCAAAAAGCAAGATTCTGGTCTCAATTGTGGTTAAAAGTCAAGGACTATTTCAGTGGTGGGTTCCGGATCCCGTTCCAACTGGTACGGTTGGAATGGGCCTGGCGGTGTCCACATGGATGCACATAGCACGCACATGCTTCTTACTGTCCAATGACGCCTCTGCAAGTCTTTGCAATGCTTCAGCTGCTCAGCAGAGCGTTACGCAGCCGCTGTTCACACCGTGCACAGAATCCCCGAAGACATTAAAGACAGGTCAGGAGCAAGGGCGGGCGGGCGGGCCCTCCGGAGCACTGTACCGGAACGGTACCTGGTGCTCCGGGCAGGCTCCGGTACACCCATATTGAGGCGTACTGCCTGCAAACCACCACTGGACTATCTGTACAGTACATCAATTTTTTTCTAGCAATTCCATAACTTTGAACAGTCAGCTGTCTAGTTTAATGAAAATAAAGACTAGGGTGTGGTGATAACAATATTCCAATATCTAAGGAGTTACCACAAAGAAGAGGAGGTCAACCTATTCTTCAAAGCACCTGAAGGCAAGAAGCAATGGGTAGAAACTATTCAAGGGGAGAAGCAACCTAGGACTAAGAAGAAATTTCCTGGCAGTTGGAACAATTAATCAGTGTAATCCTTCCAGAAGTTGTAAATGCTCCAACACTGGAAGTTTTTAAGAAGAGCTCGGACAACCATTTGTCTGAAATGGTGTAGGGTTTCCTGCCTGAGCAGCGGGTTGGACTAGAAGACCTCCAAGATCCCTTCCAACACTGTTATTCAATTCTATTCTAACTGAACAAATAGCCACAAAGCAAGGATTGTTGCTACTCTTTTTGATATGTAAGGATATTAGCCTGTCCTAACCTGACACCTGCAGGTAGATGGAGGCCAAAACCCAGAATCACAATGTGGATAGCCTTGTTAGCACCAAGCTGTTTGAAAGGTGTTTCAACTTTGTGAATAATACTTGGAATTACTATCAAAGTAGAGAGCAAATCTATGTAAAACCTATTTTTCCCCTCTCTTTGAAATAAAAACCAGACATTTGACACTGAGATGGAAAAGTATAGATCTTTTCTATCTTTCCATCTTTCTATTTCTTCTGTAGTAATTTTTTGTCACTCAAAATATTTTTCTAAATATTTCTACCATAAAGAAAAGTATGGGTTTCATTTTTAATTTAAGAATTCCTTGAAGCAGCTCTTTTGAAGCCTTGGGCAGAAACCTGGAAAAACTTGGGCTGCTTTAATGACTACAGATATGTGCTGTGCATGTGCTCAGAGCATACGTCAAGCATTTTTTTTTCAAATACTTTTTTAGATGTGCACAGCCACAATACCTAATGGGGCTGCATGGTGAGCAAAGATGTGCTATAAGGTCAGATTGCAGGATGGCAGAAGTAAACATTTTTGAAATAAAGTTGAAAAAATGGGTTTTAATTAGCCCTTCTGTCAGTACAATGCCTCCTGTTTGAAGGTATTCTATCCTTTATTGTTTATTTACTATGTTACATCCAGGGGTGGGTTTCAACTGGTTCGCGGCGGTCCCTGCGAACCAGTTGGTCGCCGAACCCGGAAGTAAGTAACTTCCGGGAA